GAGAGTTACCTACTAAGGACTTCCCATAAGATTATCAGCTGATTTCTCAAAAGAAACCTTGCAGGCAAGAAGGGGCTGGAAAGAAGTGTTCAAGTCGTGAAAGGCAAGAACCTACAACCTAGATTACTCTATCCAGCAAAGCTTTCATTGACAATGGAAGGGCAGATAAAGTGTTTCTCAGATAAGTTCAAGTTAAAGGAGTTCACCATCACCAAGCCCTTATTATATGAAATGTTAAAGGGACTTAGAAAAAGTAGATTTAAAAAATGAACAGTAGAATGACAACAAACTCACAGTTATTAACAACCGAACCTAAAACAAAAACAAACTAAGCAAACAACTAGAACAGGAACAGAATCACAGAAATGGAGATCACATAGAAGGTTATCAGCAGTGGGGAGTGGTGGGGAGAGGGGGAAAAGGTACAGGGAATAAGAAGCATAAATAGTAGGTAGAAAATAGACAGGGGGAGGTTAAGAATAGTATAGGAAATGGAGAAGCCAAAGTACTCATATGTAAGACTTATGGACATGAACTTGAGGAAGGGAATGCAGGTGGGAGGGTGTGTGCAAGACAGAGGGGAATAAGGGGGGTGGGGAATGGGACAACTGTAATAGCATAATCAACAAAATATATTCTTTAAAAATGAAAAAAGAAATAGTTAAACCTAATAAATCTAATCTAAAAAACATGAAATGGTTGAAATGTATATATTTTTCCTTTAAAAAGTCTCTAAGGTCTGCATACTTAGAGCAAAAACTTCTCACTTGTGAAAGACGTTTTCTGCCCAGAACAGTGTCCAGTCACAAACTCTTTTTTATGAATAGGTGTCATTGATCCATTTATTCCCAAAACAGGAATCAAGTGCCGACTTTTTGTAGATGACAGCGAACAATGACTACACAAGCCCTGCCCTCGGGGGCAAATATTCTATATTTGTCCAAGAATTTCACGGGCAAGAGGGGATCAGAAAAAGCGTGCTCACCCTCAAGGTAACAACTACTTTTTAAAGACTTTGTTTGTGGGTTGCTTTTTTTTGTTTTTGCGGGGGGTTGGGTTTTTTGTTGTTGTTTTTTTGTCTACCCAAAGGATCCTGATATGTAAACCATTGCTTCTAACTGGAGGGGTGAAGAAAAGGCAATAAATAGGCTTTGCTGCTGCCAATGTTTGGTTTCCACGGCGACACGATGAGTTTACCTGTCCCACAGAGGAAGGTGTCAGGAGGGCTGTCCCCCACTGCAACCCCTCGGGTCTGCTGGGCTCTGGGACGGTGGTTTCTGAAAGAATTTCCCAGAACCCCTCTGTGGCCTTCTTTCAGCCCCAGGTTCATGTTCACCCTCTTTATGTCCCAGTGTCCAAACTGCAGAAATTATTTTAAAGAAGTGACGAGGGACTCAAACATTGGAAAAAAATTTTAATTTCAGGTAACAGCTAATAAGCTTAGTAATCAATGCATGTAAACAGCTTTTGTTCCAGGAACGGAAGGTACGACCCAGCCTGACTCCGAGAGACCATAAGCAGGTCCACCTTTGTGTCTGGGGAGGACTGCAAGCCATCAGGATGGTATCAGAGCCATTGTGCTCCTGGGTGAGACGCCCACCGCCCAGGACACACATGAAAGACCACCGCCCAGGACACAGATAAAGACCATGGGCCCAGGGACACAGATGAAAGAATGTTGCAGCTTTTTATCTGATTGACCTTTCTGCTGAATTCCAAACCCCTTACCTATGTTTTTCTTCTCTTTATAAAAAGAGTCAGTTTAAAATGGAATTTAAGACAGTCTGTTAGGGTACAAACCCGCCATTTTCTCAGATCGCTGGCCTTCTGAATAAAGCGCCCGTAGAGATTCAATCCCTGTCATTGCTTATTGGGTCAGGCAGTGACTCACAGTCCGAACACCAGGTTTTCTGGTTTCAGAAGGAAATGCACCGCATTCAACACCTTAAGAAGTTGTAAAAGGCCTCAAAGACTTCTGTGGTGCCAGCTGTTTTTTCGGCTGGCCTTGCTTCTCCTCCCTCCCACCCGGCTGTCACCCCACTTTTACTCTGGCAAACCCCACTTCTGCACCCCACACATCAGGGCTGACGATCCTGGGGCCCAACTGCCTGGGCTGAGCCGGGAGCCCGGGCCCACCAGGCCGGTGCCCCCTGGGTTTGCATCTTCAGCAGGGTGACCCAAGGTCAGAGAGGATTTGTAGCCAAGACGTTCTGGAGGCAGAGCCCTGAAGAACGGGGTTCCCTGGTTGCTGCCACCCAGATCCCCGAGCTTCCCTGAGCTGCCTGCCGCCCTCATCCCTCCAGGAAAACCCCTCCCTCATATACGTCTGGTGCTCTTCTCTTGCCTGTGACCACAGAACCCTAAACTACCCATAGAGAAAGGTTGGCCACTGTGGTTTTTAAAAATCACTCGACCTTTTAAAATAGATTTGTCAAAAGTGGCAAAAATGAGAATTCATTTTGGTTTTCCTTAAGAATCACTCAGAAATTCACTCCTTTGGGGCACAAAAGCAGAGTCCAACTATATATGCAGTAAGCGTAACTTTTCTCAGTGTGTTTAGAAAGACCACAGTCTTATTTAAAAACATTAATATTTTGATGCAAAACCGCTAATGTCCAAGTGAGTTGTTATAACAAATATATAAACTCCTTCGAGGGGCTGATGGCAGGAATAAAATGAGTGAGGGTCCCAGCTGGACATGGGGGCAGCTGCCCCAGCGCCCTTTCCAAAAAAACCGCCGGGTACGTATAGATGGGCCTGGCCACACACGCTCACATCTGCGCCGAAACTGTGTCTACTCGCCCTACACACGCGCGGGCACCCACTCTTTAATCCTGGCTGGACACCCTTCCATTCCGACTGCTCAGCTTCCTGGCCTCAGTGTCCTAATTTGCGAAGAGGAAGGAACCGGGCCCAGGTGCACTTCACTCAACATCGCCTGGGTCCCTCCCTGCAGATTCTTTCATTTCTGGCCTAAGCGTAATATCTGGCCATTAGTAGGAAAGTTTTGCAAACTTCAGAATATAGTACCGATGCTGAAAACGTGGCCAATTATCACAAAACAGCACTAAGCTACCAAGCTGTGCCTTTATAAGACGGTGCTTCATGGCTTTTCCGAACTCCTTTGCACACTGTCCCCGCCGGTCCCAAGCGAGAACCGGGGTGAAGGCCTGCTCACCCCCAAGCAAGGAGCAATCGGAGGCTGCAGCGGCGGCCACGGGCCGGCAGGAGTGGGCCGGAACTCAAGGGCCAAGGGGTAGATACTGTGTTCCTGGAGCCCCGAGAAAACTCAGGGCAAGGAGGAGGGGCAGGAGCGTGGTGCCCAGAAGGAGCGATGGCCTCACTCCTTCTCTCTCCCACCCTCTGCCCTACTGCTCACACCACTGGAGGCCCACGGCCTGGAGTCCTGCAGGGCAGTGAGGGAAGGCAGCCAACTGTGGGGCAGAGAGGAGAGCGGAGAAGGGGGCAACAGCGTGTGAGAAGAGCCGGAGGACACCCAGCCACACACGTTAACTCTGGACAGATCAGGCGCGGAGAGATGAAGTGCCTAATTCGGTTGGCACCGTGCATAACCCCGATTCAAGGTCTGAATGCACATTCCCAGGCCCTCCGGAGCCCGTCCTGCCGTTAATGGCCTCCATGCTGACCATCTCGGGGAACTGTACTGCTGGGGTCAAATTAAGTATTTTGTTTCAAGTTGAGCTACTCCGTGTGGGTCCCCGAGGGAGCCCTTGGTGGTGTCCCGAGGACTGTCCCATCAACCCCGTGAGCCAACAGCAACGACAGCTGTCCTGTCCCAGGGAGGCCAACAGGGAGCCACTGGGGTCACCAGAGCCACAGTGGAGACCAGACGGCAGGGAGGGGCCCAGGGTGGGCAGGAGCTTGTGGCTGCCGGCAGCCAGTCTCCATCTCCCTGGGTGGGAGGTCCGGCAATGAACCTGAGTGTTCACTCACTGTTGGGGGTAGAAACACCCAGCTCACAGGGCTGATGGGGGGACTGGCGTGCGGTGCGTGTGCCCAACAGCTCTAACGAACAGTATCTTCCGGGGACCCACTCTAAAGGTGCTGTTGCTATGCAGGTAGCTGGTAGAGGGGGCCCTCACACCCTCCTTTTACAGACACCCAGACGGAGCTGACAGACGGGTGTCCTGAGACCATCGCCAGGGCTGACTGTGTTCAGAGACACACGCGTGTCTGCCCCATTAACACAGTTTGGGCCAAGACCTGCTCCCAGCTGTTTTCCCAGCAGGGTCTCCAGCCAGAAGCATTTACAGTGCACCCAGGCCCCTGCTTTCACCAGCTCTTGCAGGCTGGGGCGAGGTAGGGACACCGGTTACACCTGTTTTCCAGGTTGCTGTCCTCCTTTTGCACCTGGCCCTGCATGGTTGACATTTCAGGACCAGCACTGGCAGGGCTGCGGGTTCCCCGGACAGCACCGTGGCCCTTGAGGAATGCGGCCCTGGAGGAATGCACCTCGCTCTGGGCCATGGTGGGTCTGGAATCCCAGGCCTGCCTTTATCAGGGACCATGGCTTTGATCTTGGAGGGCTGCCTTTGTGCCAAGAAGTCACTGTTAGGATCGCACTGCTTGATGTTGGGATGTAACCCAGCCAGGAGCTGACTGTGCGTATCAGTAGGGGTTCAAATGCAGTGTGGCAGGCAAAAGAGCTGGCCTGGAAGGAGGGGCTGCAGCAGCAACTCTGAGGGAGCCAGGAGGTGTCACTGGACAGGACAGTGTGACAGTGCTCAGTGATGAGAGCTCTGGAGGCATCTGAAATGAGCCAGCCGCCCCTCTCCCACCCGCCCCCCTCCGTCACTGTTCGGGGCACCCACACAGCCTGCTTGCCGCACGTACTGCAGGAGAGCCCTCCCTCCAGGCAGAGACGGCGTCATTGTTTCAAACAGCCGCGGAATGTCCCCTGCCAACCTGCGGGCATTGTCCTCGTCCACCTCGGACCCAGCACAGGGCAGGCACCCAGTGGACGGGGAAAATTCGCTCACCGAAAGGGTTCAGCGGGGCCGATGCCGTTGCCGACTGTCCTGTGGCCTCAGAATTCGCTCTAACACCTGAGCCTGTGGAAGGAAAAAAATAAACAACTTGGAGTGAATATGGCAGAACCATTGGCTACATTTCTATTTATCTCATGGTTCAAGGCTAAAGCAGTCCAATTGGTCAAATATTTTGGTTATTTAAGAGTTAGTATCTATATTGGGTAATATCACTTAGAAGTAAATCCAATAACCAAATGAACTCACGTCATTCCTTGATGACGACAGAACCACGCATCACCGCGTGGTGCTGGCTTGTCACTGGGGCCAGAGCTGGGACCCATAATGCTGCTGTCCCTCCTGCTGACATGTATCTTTCACACTCAATTAGTGAATCAAAATTACAATGAGACCCCTAGGCTACCGTCAATCACTTTCAAAAGTCATTAGGGGAGGAAAGAAAAAACCTGTTATCCATGAAGTTTGTTTGCGAAAGCAGAGAAAACAAACTGACTACACGAACATAAAAGAAACACATCAGCTCTTAAGGAGGGGGCTGCAAGCTCAGGTTCCGAATCTGACCACTGACAAGGGGGGTCAGGCAGCAGGAGGCTCAGCCCCGGCCAGGCCACCCTGGCCCTTGCCCGCCTGGGAAGGACGTCTAAGTGGTCCCGGCCACTTGCAGCCAGAGCCCACGTGGGCTGGGAGGAGGTCACAGGACCGCAGTCCAGTTGTCAGGATGGGGGCAGGGCGGGGTGGGGAGCAGGGAGAATCTGGCCTCTTGAACCTCGTTCACAAGAATATGGGCTCTGTCTCTTGTCAGCCTTATCAAAAAAGGCACGTCCACCCTGTAGCCTGGGTGACTCAGAAACACACTCGAACGCAATTGTCTGTCATCACACCTCACAGTAAAACATAAACCTAGAAAACTATGAAGCCATAGGCTAAAAATACATACAGATAGAGGCACGGCCAGTTGAAAGCCCCCTGCCTGAGATACCCACATCTAACCCTCAAACATCCTGCACCGGGATGCCTGGGTGGCAAAGGGCACTTGGCACATGTGTCTGCGTCAAGGACCTTGAGATGGGTTCCATGTGATCACAAGGGTCCCTATCACAGGGGCGGAGGGACCCAAGTCAGGACAAGGCGATGTGACAGGGGTCACAGCTGAAGGGCGCAGGCAGCCTTTAACTAACTCGGTAAGCCATTGAAATTCACAATGAAGCTGATCATGAGAAGACAGATAATCCGTTTAAAGCAGTGTGCTTTTCGTTCTTTGTACTTTAAAACAAGGCTCTATTTCATAGGCCGTTTTGAGGGAAGGTGAAGTGTTCTCATTCTATAATAAATTTCTTTCCCTTTCTTCCTCCTTGGCAATCACTAAAAGTCATTTCTATCCGTAAGAGTTCCTTGTCACCTGATGACATCCACATCCTGACCCCCTCCCAGGTTCCCTCTCGAACAGAAACCTGTAATTCTCTTTTTTGTGTGTGTGTGTGTTTTTTTTTTTTTTTGCTGCTCTTGTTGTCTTATCCAGCACGACAACAGCAGACTCTATGAAAATCAGCTACAACGTCCCTCTGGAGGCCAGTCCCTCCCCGTCCTGCGCCCACGCACCTGGTTACAGGTAAGGGCACCACACAGCCTCAGCCCACCGGCGGCTGAGTGTAGACTAAACATTTCAATACTTAACCTTCTCTTTCAATGAAGTGTCCATTGAGGGTGTAGTTCTTCAAAAGTAATTTGAAAATGAAATACAATCAACTGTAATATTGTGTTATATAGAGATAGAAAAAGGCATATCCTTGATAGAGGTACTGTGTACAATGAAAACAAAATTTAGCATTTTTAAAAGAAGGAGAACAAGTTGGTAGGACATAGTCTTTACCCGACATTAAGGACTTTGTTTGTGTGCCAACCAATTCTGGCTTTTTCGTTATCCTTTCTGTGACAGGTGGAGGAGCTGGGTAAGTGTTTGCTGCAGTCACTGAGTTTAATGATTCCATCACCTCTTCTTTCAAAGACGGACTGGACATCAGATTCAAGGAAAAATTGGCTTTTACGTTTGATTGACCGAGTTACATAAAACTCATTGTGTTAGTTAGTAGCTTTAAAGAGTCAAAGCCGAATGTCATTCTCCCAGAGGTTAAAATGAGTTTAACATTTTCAAAACACCCAAATGCATCATTGATAAAAGTTACAGTTTACAGAGAATACGAGTTATTTTAACTTCTCTGAGCAAGACTTCACTCAAGTAGTGTTTTGATTTCTACTGCATCTTGGAGGTAATAATAGGTTAGCCTTCATGGGATTATCAGATATTGATATGTTTCAATGTAGTGTAAATGATTATTTTCTGTGGTGGTAAAATTAACAATGTTTAAGGTGATTTTTAAAAAGATTTCATTTATTTATCTTTAGAGGGGAAGGGAAGGAGAGAGGGAAAGAAATATCAATGTATGGTTGCCTCTCATGCGTCCCCTGCTGGGAACTAGCCTGCAACCCAGACATGTGCCTGGACTGGGAATTGAACCGCGATCCTTTGGTTCGCTGGCCCGTGCTCAATCCACTGAGCTACACCTTCCAGGGCAAAGTTAACAATATATATTGCCATGTGATCCAAGAGACTCGAAATTCCTAAAATTAGAAGCAACCCCTGGGCATGCTGATTCTTGCTCCCTAGAGCTGAGACGTACTCTTGTTCCCAAGTCGATTAACTGGCGAATTGGTGGGGGGTGGGTAGTATATATTGGGGACATCAGTTCACCGTGGGGGGCGAGGCCTGGAACTGAGATTTGCCAGGCGCGCCCTGTGTACCGGGTGCGCCCAGAACTAGGATTGGGTGCAACGCCTACTTCTGTTCATCATTGCCTGCCAGCAGCTTGATCCTGGAGCCCCGGTCCCCAGGACTGTGAGGCAGTACCCTTCTGCTGGGTGAGCCGCCCATCCGTGGTGTTTTGTGACGGCAGCCCTTGCACACGAGTATGACGGGGACTTGCGAGGGGTCACTATCAGTCAATACACTGAGACCACATGTTAGGTTGGGAGTCTTCTGGACAAACGCAGGTTAATAGTTAAACTGACGCTAAGCTCTAGGACAGCCTGCCCCGTGGAGGCGGGGGGGGGGTGGGGGAGAGACAGCGGGAGGCTTTCCAGAGTAAGGGGAGTCTGGAGCATCAAACAAAACAACCGGGGCACCGTTGAGACCCAACCTAAGGAGGCGTGTGCTTTTGGAAGCCGGCTCTGGAGGCGGGTGGCCGAGTGATGACGGTTGGGTACAGAGGGAGACTGAAGCCGGAGGTGACAAGAGCCTGCCTGAATGAAGGGAGTAACAGTGGGGGCGGTGGGTGGTGACAGCTACGAGGACTGTGATGGAAATAGAACCCGCGGGGCCTGGTCACAGCGTATATGTAGGGACAAGGGAGAGCCCAGTAATACAAGTTCAGGTTTGGGGGCCCTAGTCCGTGGAGCTGCCATGGACTGAGGCAGAAATAAGGGAAAAGATGAAGGCTGGGACTTCCAGGTTCTTCCCATACAGTCAGTGGCAACCCTGGGCATGCGATTTTTTAGGTTCTGACTCTACACGATGGACTATATATAACACAGCCAGAGTGGAGTAAAAGTAGAATTTGAAGTACTGTTACAAGGGGAATAGCTCTCCAGCTCTCCTTTGAACAGATCAGTTTGTTTAACTCATCAGTAAAATCACATCCCAGTTCTGATTATACTACTCAAAATCCCTCTGAGCCAGGAAAGATGACGCTTGTACTTCACGCCTCGTCGCTGCTCATTTACAAACGAAGAACACCCCCTCCCTGAGAGGCAGGCATCCGTGCCCAGGGCAACTGCGGCCACATCCAGTTTGGGCCATCAGGGCAGCAGGAAGGGTGGCTCGGTCACCAACCCAGAAGGCACTCGTTCACTCCTTCTTGGGTGACCAGTCATGTGATTGTCCCTTTTTCGTGGCTGATGAGCTTGTCAGTGACTTTATCACGGAGAGTCTGCGATTCACTCCATAAAGAGACGTGGTGAGCCTGCCTGCGTCCCCCACCCTGGAAGGCACTGACCACATGTCTGGGGGACACAGGGTTAGAGACATGACTGTATCCTCCAGTCGTTCAGCGTCTGATGAGAGAACCAGTGAGAAAACAGATGGTTTCAGAGAGCACACTGATCTCCTTTCTAGGCTGTGTTATAAAAAGTAGGCTTATCAGCTCTCTTATTCTTAGTGGAAGGATGGTGGCCGTCTAAAGTGGATTAATTAAGAAACAATGACATAGGTATCATTCAAAGAAGCTACCACCAGAAGGGCTAAGAATAGAAGAAGTCCCAAGTGATCGCCCCGGGAAGGAACTGATGGTGACGAGAGTCCCCAGTGAGTGACGACGGCCAAGACCTCGGGCTGCGCTGGCGGCCTGCTGGGCGGTGCCAAGGAGGCCCAGGACGGCAGCAGAGCCTTGGAGAAAGGGTCACTGTGAGGATGCTGGAGTGTGAGAAAAGCCAGTGAGGGGCGGGGAAGGCCAGCCCGGGGAGCAGGAGGACAACCAGGGTCGCGGCTTCCCAGGATCCACCAAGGAGAGAGTCCAGAGAAATGGGGAGGCTGACAGTGTTCGGCGTGGCCACAGGCTCCAGGGACACGAGGACTGTGGTGGGGTGGGGGGTTGACTCCTTCTCTGTCACCAGGACAGAGGAAGCCCCCTGTGTGCAGAGGAACCTGAGGCCCCTCAACACAGGCCCCTACGCGGTTGAAGGGGGCTAGCAGAGTCGGCTGCAGAGGAGAGTAGGGAGATGCAAACTCGGAGGAAAGGCTGCGAGGTCTGGAGTGGGATGAAAAGTGGGCTGAAGCCTCCGGGAAGGCTGACCAGTGAGAGCTGGACGTCACGCTCTGCCCCCTGCCCCCGAAGGCCTCATCCAGGCATGCGGATGGGAAGCCCTGGAGCCTCAGACTGTGAGTCACGGTGATTCTGCAGTGGAATGTGGTGGTGGGGGGGATTTCCTTTAAAAACACAGATTACAGCCTCCCCCTGTCCAACCACTTTCGGTAACTCCCTGCTGCCCATGCCGCACTCTCCAAACGGCTC